GTCGTTGCGCTGGAACCCTCATCCCCTATACTACTCATTTTAATAACGTTCTCCATCTGATACCGTCGGTAAACCAGCCTTTACCGTCCGTATCTGATTCATTACCTGTATACACTTATTTCAAAAAACGTCTGTCGGGTTTTTGTGCTTTTATGTTTTATGGCTAAAATACGAAAAATGACATTCCTAACTCAAAGGTCTTGATTCATATTCCAATCTTAAAGGAAACGCATTGAATACATTATATTTTGCAGCGTGTTACTCGGTCTCAGATGTCAGATTTCACATCTCCGAACGAATCCATTTTGATGTATCAACAATAGATGTATAAGACAAATTTGAATCCATATAATCTACAGTCCGCTTTGGAAACTTTGCGTTTTCTAAATCTTACCCATGATGTTTTGTTTATTTATTGTACAGGATGTCTTTGAGAAAGTTAACAAGGCGTATGAGTTCCTGTGCTCCAAGACATCACGACGTACTCATGGTCCTGATCCACATAATATTGTACTCATTCTCAAAGCACAGTCTATTTTATTCAAAAGATACAAAGATGGTGAGATGATGATGATGATGATGATGATGATGATGATGATTTGTTGTATGTCTGTCTGTTACATTGCTGTATATATGTCTGTCACTCTCCTCTCCTCTCCTCTCCTCTCCTCTCCTCTCCTCTCCTTTCTTCTCCTCTCCTCTCCTCTCGTTTTGTCTCATCTTCTCTCGTCTCCTTTCTTCTCCCTTCGTCTCCTTTCTTCTCGTCTCGTCTCGTCTCCACTAGCCTTTCCTCTTGTTACAGCCATCAAAATCATGTGACTTATAGTCGTTTCATGTTCTCATTTGTTCCAGAGCTTCACCCATACAAATACTCAGGTTACCCAATGCTCATCAAGACCATACGCATGGAGACCAATGACAGTTCACTGTTCTCTAAGGACGCACCTCTATTGACTGCTGCCAGTGAACTAGCGTATCATACTATCAACTGCTCTGCACTTAATGCTGAAGAACTCAGAAGAGACAATGGTCTCGAGGTAAGACGATTTTCTTCAGAAATATACTTTCTCTATAGGGCTTTTAAGTTGTGACGTATTTCCGGGTCCAATCACACAAAAGATCTCTAAAATCTTGCCACCACGTATTCCCAGGATTTATTCTCTACCTTCAACAATTAGATATATGAACAGAAAATCCTGCTATGAAGAAAAAACACAGAAAAATGTCTGTAGAAGTAATTATTAAGCTGGACCCGGAAGTCGTTTTTTGTTCGAATTACGTCACACTTAACAGCTCTATAACTCTCTCCTTTGCTAAAAAAATCCCCAAATAAAATCGATGTAGTTACCGAAACCAAAGTCAGTGCTGGTAGTGCCTTTAGCTAGAAAACAGGATTTCAAGGAAGCTAACAGTGCGCACTTTACCTCTTCTCTCCATCATTACTCTGTAGTAAGAGTAATAAGAGCTAAGTGTACGCAGATTGGAAAGAAGTTGAAACAAGCGTGTAGAGCTACTGAGAAACAAACTACGAATCTATCACTCAACAAACCATCTTTTTGCTGCATTCCTTCTTTAAACTGATATACTATTCTGTTAGCTGTTAGTCCTAAATAGACCTCTTCGGCTAGTGTGCGCTCGGGCGTAATCTTTTCCCATTTTAGACCAGGTGTCATTCCCTGGAGTATCATTTCTTTGTTTAACGGTTGCACATGAGAAGACACATGAATATTGATACAACTCAAACAAAAAAATCTTACTTTCAAAGGAATGACACTTGGTCGGAAATGGAAAAATATTAGGCCCGAGCCAAGAAGGTCCATTGTGTGCAACCATTTCCCTTATCACTACACGCTGTAAGCTGCGCCATTCGGTGAGGTTACCAAGTGCCATGTCTGTCCTCGCCTAACCCTCAACATGAAATCCCGTCAGTTGCTGATTTTTGTTCTTATTTCCTTTTGCTTTACAGGCCCTAGTGGAAGCATATGTTCGATGTTGTGAAGTCATTTCTTCCTTCACCAAACCAGATGAGATTGCTGTTCAGGTAACCAAATATATAAAAGGAAATATATAAAAGAAATATATATTCTGAAAACGGAGTTTGTTTATAATTTGTTCAAATACCGATACACTTTGTTTTTAAAACGATTGGCTCTACATTTAAAAAAGCCGTAGGTTTTTTTAAAGTAGTTTATTTAATCACGTGTCGTCCAAGAGCGTAGAGCCCGTTTAAAATAGGTTCGCGGGTTGCGTAAACTGTGATTATTGTGAGACCTCGTCTCGGGAAGAATTTCTCTTAGTGTAGTGAGGTTGGCCAAGTCAAAAAAAAATCATTATTTGAGTTGAGTGTTGTATACTGTAAAAAATGAATGTAGAGATAGTGCGCATGGAGGGAAACTCACGGAAGAGCCCCTTACAGGGAGTGATGGTTCACTTATAAAATCAAAGTATTTTTTCTCCTTCTCTGTTTTATTAGGTGTGTATTCACATCACCAAGTGTTTCGCTGTGTCCGCGCAGTTTGAAGAATCCAGGGAGAAGATCACAGAAATGCCAGCCATTATCAAAGATATGTGCAGCCGTTTATACTACAAGGTAATTGGTTTAGCCTAAAGCAGATATCGTGAGGAGATGGGAAATGTAGGGGTAGACTTCTGTAGCCATATTGTATGTTACAGTGAAGTCACTAAACCTGTGAAATAGATATAAGACTAATAAATATTAATAATTTACGCAAGTCAATATAATAAATCTGGCTCGCTACATACTGTTTCAAAAATAAGGGTCAAACAATATCTTTTAACCAAACAAAGTTCGTCCTGTGGAAATTAAAACTAAATTCACTAAAACTAAATTTCACTTTCAATATTCGTCTTCCTCTTTATTTCTCGGTCTTGTTATGTCTCGTCGCTTTGCCGTGGCACATCCGTCACCTCCGCTTTTCTGCTGCTTTTTTGTGTGTGTGTGTTACTGTCTGAAGCTACTGAATAAAATTATAACTTAAATTGCCTACGGTCTAACCTTTTTCTAACTCTTTTTGTATTTATTTTCCTACAGAACCTGCCCAACCTGTGCTCAGTTGCCGCTGAGTGTGTGAGCGCTTTCAGTGTGGACTTCTGGCTGCAGACACAGATGCTTCAAGCAGGAGTATTATGGCATTTGTTGCTGTACTTGTTCAACTATGACTACACTTTAGAAGAGAGTGGAGTCGAAAAAAGTGCTGAATCCAACCAACAGGTGAGTGTGACGAATCAAAGAGTGGTTTTGTTGCATGTAGTATGTGCATGTTGCGTGTAGTATGTTGCATGTAACATGTCAAATGTTGCATATTGCATTCCAAGTCCGAAATGAAAAGTCACAACGAAATGGAATTTTACCAAACTTTGTCTAAATGTTTTTACGGTATATTTTCTTCTGTGCTTACATTATTTATACATGAATATAATGTATTTAACAAATAGACATCAGTTTTTTATGTGTCTGTCCTCTTATTGACGATAAATTGCGTCATCACATTGTCAAAGTAGTGTGGATCCACGAGGCGTAGCCGTCTGTCCTCTTATTGATGATTATTAGTTATTGTAAAATTCGAGCTTGATAAACAATATGCAACATGCAACAAAATCTTCTTCAAACTCAGTTTTTAAAATAGCTGTACGTCACTTATCATGTTTCGTTTATCTTAGGAAGTCGCTAATAACTTGGCTCATATATGTGTTAATGCTTTGGCAAGACTTGGAGGATATTTACGTAAGTACTATTCTTTTATCGCACGTTATGTCATCGTGGCCTCTCAGGGGAGCGCTTGTGCCATTTAACAAAAGGTTTCTCATTAGCATCCATTTTTAAATGATTTAACGGCACCAAGATTGCCGCCAGGTTTTTGTCTTTTGACTCTCTTGGAAATGCTTCCAACCCCATTAATTAGATCCGCATTTTTATCTGTAAATCGAATGAAAAAATGTTTCTTGTGTTTGATATATTACTTGAATTTGAATCCGCGCGCAACAGTCTTTCTTTGTTGCGTGAAATAAGTATTCGGTTTTCTATTTGCAACACTTTTTTGGTGCTTGCGATGAGATATTACGAGCAGTGATCGTTCTTGCTCCACAAGATACGCGATTTTGTTACCCGTTGTAAATAGATTGACAAAATGTGCAACCGTTTTCACGTTAACATAGAACTTCCATTGCTTATTGCAGCCGATGAAAATGTCACACCAGAAAACCCAGCCATCAGGAAATCTCTGTCTGCGTTATTAACACCATACATAGCACGACAACTGTCTAATGATACTCCTAAAGAGGTAGGATA